GCAGGACTGGGGGGCACCGGATAGGGAAACACCAATGCTTGGATATCCGGATTTGGGGAGAAGGACACCTCCTTCGGTGTGCTGTGCACACCCATGTATGCAACACACAATTCCAAGGTTGGGGAGTTTTATCCACATCCGAGCTAGCAAGCTGCCAATCCTCCTCCTCTCCAGAGATCTGACAAGGCAGAAGTTGGACTCGGAGGAAACTGCTTCTTGCAAAAAAATTTCTCCACGCTTCCATGCGCAGCAGCATTGCCGTCCGCCTCCTGCTTTTCCTCCAGTGGGGGGCACCAGACAGGGAAACACTGATGCTCAGATGTCTGGGCTTTGGCAGAAGGACGTCTGCTTCTGCGTGTCTGCACGTGCACACATGCACATACACCATTCCAAGGTTGGGAACTTCTATCCATATCTGAGCTGGCAAGCTGCCAATCATGCCTGGGCTTGGGGAGAAGGACCTCTCCTTTGGCTCTCATTTGACCTCTCCTTCCTCTGTGGATAAAAGTCCCCAAACTTGGAATGGTGTGTGTGTGTGCATGCGCTTGGCTGCTGGCAGTTCGGGGAGGCAAGGAGTTGGTAGGACACCGAGTTGTCCCCACGTTGAGTTAGCCTGTGCGACTTGTTGCACACCGAGCCAGCTATGCCGAGTCAGCGGGGCTGAGCCGGTTGCGCCCACCTGGCCATGCCCACCCTGTTGCACCCACTCATCCACGCCAACTTGGCCACTGTGAGTCATCCTAGACCCCTTTAGGAAGGTTGCAAATGGTGATCACATGACCCTGGGATGGTGCAACTGCCGTAATTACATGCCAGTTGCCAAGTGCCCAAATTTTGATTGTGTGACTGTGGGAAATTGCAACAGTCATAAATGTGAGGACCAGTCATAAGTCATTTTTTTCAGCACTGTCATAACTTTAAATGGTCATTAAACAAATGGTTGTAAGTCGAGAACTACCTTTATTGGACGTACAGAGTCATTGTGTTTAGCTGGAGTAGGCAACCTTTTGTGAGAGTTTAAGAGCTGCAGTTGATACAAGTTGGTGAGGAGGAAGGGATGATTTTGGTTTTTCTGGGCGGGGGGGAAGTTTGAGGATTTTTTTAAAAAAAACTTTGTTAAGTATATTTCAAAGGTTGCATTACAGTTTTCTATTTCCTGTCCCCAAATGCATGAAAATTGTGCTACTGATATATGGCAGTTTTTGTTGGAGGTGAAATTCCAGGGACCACGTATAGTGAAATTATGATTTGTTGAATAAATCACAGTTGACTGGATTCAACTATGCCAGCTGTAAATCATGGTTTACAAACTATAGTACCAGAACATACTAAGTCACAAGGTTTTTTGCTTGGTTTTGTCTTAAGAGTGTTCTGTTTTCTAGCATTGGAGAAGCTAGAACAGTTCCACTCGAAGTGAAAGCTTTCAGTCTCGTCATGGCGTTATCAAAGGAGATGAGGGAGCACACAAGCATGAATTCAATAAAATGTAAATATATTGCTCTGTTAACAACAGTTAAGAATGTATATATAAGATGTGAAAATTGACATTTTCTTCCATAAGTTTTCTTAGGAATGAATTCATTCTTTAATGAAAGTGTATACAGCTTTAACTGTAATCACAGTTCCAGTTTCAAATCTTGCCTAATTATAATTGCAATCACTTTTAGGGCGAATTCTCTCAGAAAAGATAAGAGAAAGAGAAAATATTTAATCTTCCTTTGGCATGCTGCCTTACTAGATAAAAGTCATGGTTTTTAACTACAAGCAAATAATTATATTTTACTTCTACTTATTTCCATATTTTTTAAAATGATGAACTGTTTGCAACACTAGGATTCTCCAATAATTTTGTGGGCTGTTTATCCCTTTTCTCTGCATTTTGTTACACTTTACAAAGGTACATGAATTAGACTCTACATAATGGTTCACGTTTGGCTATCTGCCCAGTACATTGCCCAGTCACATTTAATATTGTTGGTAAGCCACATTTGGTCCCCATGCCTTTTAAAAAAAATGGCCCAAAAGAGTTCACACTGCAGATACTAAAATTATTGAGCTGCAAGTTCCTGCCTTTTCAACCAAAAAATAATAAATGGCTTGTAATGTGTGTGTGTGTGTGTGTGTGTGTGTAAAACAAACTCCACCCTTCCTTCTTAGGAAATATGACATTTTCCTATATCACGTGACTCTCAGCTGCCACAAAGTTACCTTCCCCACCTTTAAAGGCAAGTATAGTCTGGCACCTGTCTGCATGGATACAGTGGTGGTAATAATATCACTGTTTTTTATTTACTAGTTCCAAAACAACACAAAATTAAAACAATTTTTTTCTAGTCTTCTTACCAAAATAAGTGTCATCATGCACATCGTATCATGGCCCCATTGGAGCCCGGTTCGGAGGAGGAGGAGTTGGAACCGGGACTGTCTGACAGGGATAGCACATCTCCCTTGGCATGTTTGGAGAGGCCAGGGGCTGAGGACGATGTCTCAGGCCCCTCAGGCATTGCTGGAGGTCGTCGACCAGATGGAGAGCTGCCTGCCTTCATAGACACAGAGGAGGATCAGCTGCTGACAGGCAGTGGTGCTGATAGGCAGTAGATCCCCTCTGATGAGGAACAGCTGCCTCCTCTGCTGTGCAGGTTCTGAGGTTTTGCGTGTGGTCCTCAATGGAACCGCATCTACATGGAGGGAAGTGTGTAGTGGGGTGCCCCAGGGCTCTGTTCTGGGCCCAGTGCTCTTCAACATCTTCATCAACGATCTGGACGAGGGGATAGATGGGGAACTCATCAAATTTGCAGACAACACCAAGCTGGCAGGAATAGCCAACACTCCAGAAGACAGGCTTAGGATANGACTCTAGAAAGAGTACAGAGAAGAGCAACAAAGATGATTAGGGGACTGGAGGCTAAAACATATAAGGAACGGTTGCTGGAATTGGGTATGTCTAGTTTAACGAAGAGAAGGACGAGGGGGGACATGATAGCAGTGTTCCAATATCTCAGGGGCTGCCACAAAGAAGAGGGAGTCAAGCTATTTTCCAAAGCGCCTGAAAGCAGGACAAGGAGCAATGGGTGGAAGCTAACCAAAGAGAGAAGCAACCTAGAACTAAGGAGAAACTTCCTGACAGCTAGAACAATTAACCAGTGGAACAACCTGCCTCCAGAAGCAGTGAATGCACCAACACTGGAAGTTTTTAAGAAGAAACTGGACAGCCATTTGTCCGAAATGGTATAGGGTTTCCTGCCTGACCAGGGGGTTGGACTAGATGACCTCCAAGGTCCCTTCCAACTTTATCATCATCATTATTATTATTATTATTATTATTATTATTATTATTATTATTATTATTATTATTATTATTATGATAAAAAATACAGGAAACCAGAAGTTGCCTTTAAGCTTTACGTTTTTATTCAGCTGAACAAAGACGGGCTCCTCTAAAAGAGAGAAGCCCCGAATGACAAGAAATCCTTGTATTTATTCTTTCTGATTACATAAGCAATCCACCCAGCAAAGCTGACACACATACTGTAAGATAAAGATTTCACCCAGTAAGTCTGGCACACTGTAGATAAGGGAGAAAGCAGAAGTAGCTAAAAATGTTCCCTTTTGGGTGTTTCCCTAAAGACATTATACGTTCCCGGGTGGTTTAGGACATTGGGCGTTTTCCTTGCTGTTCTTTCATGACCCTGCATCCATGACTGCAAGTGCCCAAAGACCGCAGGGCCATCTGCACATATTCACAATTGATACTTCCTATACTGTCTCCTAATTCCGGGACAACATAATCCCCGCTTTCATACTTTGAGCAGTGCGCAGAAGTATGATCATCAAACTGGAGACACAGGATAAGCTTCTGCAGTATGTGGGCCACATTGTTGAGGACAGGCAGAGGTGAGTAGGGGCAAGTAGTGAAAGATAACAAAGAACACCACAAAGTGAAGACCAATAAATAGTTCCCTAAAACCATCCCCATACCGGGAGCCAGCCGGTAAGGAACGAGAATTTACTACTGAAGACTCTCCATACAGCATCAGTTAAAATCTCCAGATCCTCAGGGCAATTCTTGATTCCTCCTTCCATGAGATGGATGGTGTGACTAATATTAACTTGATAATCAGTGAAAAAAATCTGAGTGGACCAAAGCACACACCACTCCTTTGCTCCTAGTACCATATCTAGTGTTTGGCATTTCTGTAACACTACTTCCCTTATTTCTCCCTGTTCCTTATTGAATTGTGTAAATGCCTGTATGGTGTGGTTAAACATTTCCTCTGTCCAGTCACCTAATTCTATAAAAGATTTACAATTCAAACCAACCCCCATAGCTGGGATTACTGCTCGTGCAATGGCATTCCCTAGGCCATGAGGTACAGGATGGTGTTCAGTATGTTCTTTATGCTCAAGGTGGTCCTCGTCCTGTCGATCGTGGATGCGGCAGTTCCAGTCATTATGTCAGATGATACAAACCGAGGAAAACATCATTCCTACAGTACATGTACCTGACCAGTAAGCTGGCAAAGACTTGTAGGCAAACAGACCACAAAGGAACCACCAGTCTGGGTGGTTAGCCAGATAAATGCCTTGTTTGCCTTCTAACCCCTCAGGCATAGAAGCTTGAACACCAGACATACAGTGAGGGAAAAAAGTATTTGATCCCCTGCTGATTTTGAACGTTTACCCATTGACAAAGAAATGATCAGTCTATAATTTTAATGGTAGGTTTATTTTAACAGTGAGAGACAGAATAACAACAACAAAATTCAGAAAAACACATTTCAAAAAAGTTATAAATTAATTTGCATTTTAATGAGTGAAATAAGTATTTGATCCCCTATCAATCAGCAAGAGTTCTGGTTCCCAGGTGTCTTTTATACAGGTAACGAGCTGTGATTAGGAGCACTCTCTTAAAGGGAGTGCTCCTAATCTCAGCTTGTTACCTGTATAAAAGACACCTGTCCACAGAAGCAATCAATCAATCAGATTCCAAACTTTCCACCATGACCAAGACAAAAGAGCTGTCCAAGAATGTCAGGGACAAGATTGTAGACTTACACAACACTGGAATGGGCTACAAGAGTATCGACAAGCAGCTTGGTGAGAAGGTGACAACAGTTGGTGCGATTATTCGCAAATGGAAGAAACACAAAATAACTGTCAATCTTCCTCGGTCTGGGGCTCCATGCAAGATCTCATCTCGTGGAGTTTCAATGATCATGAGAACAGTGAGGAATCAGCCCAGAACTACACAGGAGGATCTTGTCAATGATCTCAAGGCAGCTGGGACCATAGTCACCAAGAAAACAATTGGTAACACACTACGCCGTGAAGGACTGAAATCCTGCAGTGCCCACAAGGTCCCCCTGCTCAAGAAAGCACATGTACAGGCCCGTCTGAAGTTTGCCAATGAACATCTGAATGATTCAGAGGAGAACTGGGTGAAAGTGTTGTGGTCAGATGAGACCAAAATCGAGCTCTTTGGCATCAACTCAACTCGCCGTGTTTGGAGGAGGAGGAATGCTGCCTGTGACCCCAAGAACACCATCCCCACTGTCAAATATGGAGGTGGAAACATTATGCTTTGGGGGTGTTTTTCTGCTAAGGGAACAGGACAACTTCACCGCATCAAAGGGACGATGGACGGGGCCATGTACCATCAAATCTTGGGAGAGAACCTCCTTCCCTCAGCCAGGGCATTGCAAATGGGTCATGAATGGGTATTCCAGCATGGCAATGACCCAAAACACATGGCCAAGGCAACAAAGGAGTGGCTCAGGAAGAAGCACGTTAAGGTCCTGGAGTGGCCTAGCCAGTCTCCAGACCGTAATCCCATAGAAAATCTGTGAAGGGAGCTGAAAGTTCGAGCTGCCAAACGTCAGCCTCGAAACCTTAATGACTTGTAGAGGATCTGCAAAGAGGAGTGGGACAAAATCCCTCCTGAGATGTGTGCAAACCTGGTGGCCAACTACAAGAAACATCTGACCTCTGTGACTGCCCACAAGGGTTTTGCCACCAAGTACTAAGTCATGTTTTGTGAAGGGGTCAAATACTTATTTCACTCATTAAAATGCAAATCAATGTATAACTTTTTTGAAATGCGTTTTTCTGGATTTTCTGGTTGTTATTCTGTCTCTCACTGTTAAAATAAACCTACCATTAAAATTATAAACTGATCATTTCTTTGTCGGTGGGCAAATGTACAAAATCAGCAGGGGATCAAATACTTTTTTTCCCCTCACTGTATAAGCTATAAGTCCCATTGCTGCAAACAGGCTACAAACAGCAGAGGGGTCCTTTTTGTAGTCAAGACCAAAAATCTGATGACATTTATGCCATCCATCCCACATGCTAGTACTCACCTTCCATGTGACCATGCAAGGTGCATAAATCCCTAACTTATCTGGAAGAAGAATTAAAATGACTAAGGCAAGCTGCTGCAGGGTGCTGTATAGTTGAGCAATTTGTAGCTTTCCTGCCCCCAAACCCAGGGAGTGCCCAGCCCCTTGTGACAATGATCATGCTGAACATAGAGGCTCCCAGAAGTGTAGCTTCCATAACCAATCCATGGGTACCAGTTGGGGGTATGTGGGTGGAAATCCAACAGTCCATTACATTCAAGAGTTTAACCCAAGCCGGTGCATTCTGCATATGGGTTTTGGAACCCTAAATTCCTAAATAGGGGCTGGGAATTGGGAACTACTCTGCCCTTCCATGTTACTAGGAAAGATGGGGAAGGATGTCTGTAGCTCCTTAGGCTTTTCAGGCACGAACGTAGGTCCAGCATCAGTGTTTTGGGGTGCATCTGGCTGAAATCCTAGAGCTATCTTTTCAGGTTGGAATACTCGAGAAGGGACTTTTGGGTTTTCCTGTCCAATGTTCAGACTCACCCAACCATGGGTAAGAAGAAACCGTCCTTGCCGAGATATGGGGGGGGTACCAGTTATGGCAAAGCAACAGGAGAGTTCATGCTTGGAGGATCTGTCAGATTGTACAATCTGACCCATCCCAGTCCACAGCAGCTGTCCCCATAGTCATGTCACGTACCTTGACCATGACCAGAACCTGGCCTCGAACTTGAGCATCCTTCCCATAAGCCCCCCCGGAAGGGCAGAGCAAGCTCCAAAGAAGAAAGAAGGAAGAAAGAGAAACCTAGAGTATGAAGAGGAAAATAACATAGAGCAACAGAAAAGAAATGAACAATTCAAACAAAGTACAAGATGGAAACCAAGGCAGAGAGGAGCAACATCCGCAGCATAAGTAAACAGGGAGCTGGTGAGAGAAAATAGCTGGAGAAGAAGCTCCAAAGGCACAGGGATCGCAGCAACCAAAAGGCCCAGGCATCCAGGTCAACGTAGTCCGTGAAACAAATGCTCCAGCCCAAGGTCATCCTCAGCACCAGGGGCAACAGTCCAAGCAACTCAGTGGTCCTCAGCATTGGACAGTGGGGAAGAAGAGCGAAGGCTGGTGTGATGAATCCCAGTACGAAGCCCAGTAATCTCGACCGCTGTGTGAGTAGCGAGAAGAACAACGAAGGAGCCTCTTCAGCATTCAGCCAAAGGGCCAGAATCAGACCAGGACGTGACAAGCACCCAATCACCAGGAAGGAAAGGATGGAGTGGATGATCCAATCCTGGATAATGGAGGGCCTGAACAGCTTGAGAAATGGAAGAAACATCATAAGCAAGAGAGTGCATATATTCCCTGAGGGCCTGATCCCTCCCCCAAAACAAAAAAAAAACCAGGGAGGGAAGTGGATAAGGAAAAATAGTAAAGAAAGGGCCGACCATACATGATCTCAAAGGGGGACAGGCCTTTTCCACGTGTGCTGAAGACGGGCCTGTAGGCCAAATGAAGCTGCCAAACAATACCCAGGGCCTGAGATACCTGCTGGGTAATGTCAGAGATAAAGTGGGGCCATCGTCAGAGCCAAAGCCTTGGTATGGGAAGGAAAAAAGCAGAATAATTTCCTTCAGGAGGACCTCAACCACCTCACATGCCTTGTTAGTACAACAGGGAAAGGCCTCATTCTATCCAGAGAAAGCACCCACAAAAACTTGCAAGTACCTAAAACCCCGTGTCCATGGCAACTCAGTAAAATCAACCTCCCCAAAACTAGCAGGATTGTGGCCAGCCCCAAGCCTCCCCAAGGGGAACTTAATAATTTCCACAGGATCATTACAACGACAAATCACACATCGCTTGATCATTGTGAGGGCCTTGTTATAGATCCTAGGACAAATATAGTCCTTTATAAGAAACTCAGCCATGGCCTTGTAACCCCAATGAGTGCTGGCATGCAATTTTCATAAGAGGGCCCATAATTCATGTTTTGGGAGAAGGCATGTCCCGTCCTTCTCCAGCCTACGTCCACGATAAACAGCACCCAGTCTATAAGCTCTGTGCCCATCCTGTGAAATACATGTTGGAGCCAGCACAGGCAAATGTGAGGGTACAAGCGCACCCATATACCAAGGGGACAGGGGACCTGAAGCGGCAGACCTTGCGGTGCGGTCGGCCAAGGCATTTCCCCTTCCATGTTTAGTATCAACCCTAACATAGGCCCTCACATGCATGACAGCCACCTTATGCGGTGTGATGACCCAGGGCCCCGAACGGAGGCAAAGCAATTAGCTGGTCAGAATAATTGTCTTTGTAAGCACTGCCAACGTTCACCCAACAGCCCCCACATATGCTGGCACAAGTTCAATAAAACAGTCAACGGAGTTAAACAGTTCTTTAAAGTAAAACAGATAACAAACAAAGTATGGTCTTTTCAACGCCCAGCTTGCCTGTAACCTGCAAACTGCAAAACTGAAGACAGCAAGGAAAACACAGCAGGAAACAAACTTGATCCAAAATACAAAGAGTCCAGGTACAAGAGCTCACATCACAAGAGTTCACGTTTGTTCCCAGCAAATGCCCCACCCCACAGCATCTCCTTAAATACCTACTCCCCAGGTGTGCCTTGTGAAGTGGGGCGTGATGCTCTCCTCCCGAGCAAGTGAGCCTGCCTCCGTTGTTCCCTCCTCCTCTCTGCTCTCCTTGCTCTGGGATCTGGTGGGGAGGGGCCTTGCTCCTCGCCTGAGCTCTGCCTTCCCTGTTCCAAACTTGAAGGGCCCTGGCCTGCTTCAGCCTGTTCCTCCCCACAGTCCTCCGAAGCCACAGACACCCCCTCCTGGGCC